GGCATCCTTAAACGAATAGCTCGCGCCTACAGCCTAGCAGCGGAAACTGCTGTGCATTACGAAAAGCTGGGAAGCAAAAAATAAAGCGGAACAAAGGGTAAATTATCACACATAAGTATAAACTATCTGAATACGTTAAAAGAGCAGAGCTGCTTTTCGAGCTAAAATGAAGTGATGAGATGAGGTCATCATGGAGCATGGCATAGCGCTAGAAACATGGAAACCAGGACTCGTAGCCGGTTGCCTGCGGGCCGCGTCCCAGCGATTCGCGGGCCGAGTGTTTGAGACCCCTGCTCTAGAGCCATCCGTGAGCAGCGATAACTCATCCGCTCGCGACCCCGTGACCACGTGCTGGCGGGCGCAGCGTGAAAAATCTGGTGAAAGGGTGACAGCCTCATCCGGGGTCCGGCCATAACCGTCCGGGCTCTGTCCCTCTCCCCCTCCGGCTTCTGGCGGCTGTTTGCGGTAGCAGATAGAGCTGACGGTTTTGTGGATCTAGAATAGATGACGCCACTAAAACTCCGTATAATAAAAGTTTTTGTCGCTGATACCAGGTTTTTGACGCATTTATATTTATGTTGGAACGACAAGATTTATAAAAAAGTTACCTTTTATCGAGCAGGTATTCGCACAACTTGCTATCTTTCTACAAGATCCCATTGACGTCATGCCGGGTGATTCTCATGGCCGCCGCTCGTGGCTGCAGGTCGGGTAATACTCTCATTTTTGCCTCGCGATTATGTGGCGGAATCGCAACATTTCGAAGGAAAGATGTGTGTTTTCTGTTCTTTGTGACAAGATAAACAATGTCAAATGCAGAAGGTGCCAATTCTTTCAACGTTAAAATCATTGCACAGCTCCTTTAAGTCAGTGGACTCAGGTCCTTGGTGTGTTTTCTTCACATGGAAATGTTAAAGCTGACAGGCCATGACAATAATAATCCCTGGAGAAGGGGAACAAGGGGAACAAAAGACATACTCAAATCTCCAAACACAGCTAGGTGACTGGTGCGCACCTTTGCATTTTGAATGCATTATAATCATAACCTTGGCAGGCTTCGTCGCCTGTGTTGCAGCGAGCTGGAACAGATCAATGTAGAGGCTCTTTGGCAGGTACAATTCTAGGGATGAAATGCACTATTTTCTGCTTTCACCGGTCAGTACAGTGTAGCAAGCTGGTTTCTATTTTTGTAGGTACAGCGAAAGGAACATGACCCCTCACCCTGTGAGACAAGTGCATGCACCAGCTGCACTTCCTGTCCGATTTTCCCCACTTACTAAAAAATGTGAGGAGCGCCTTCATAGCAAAGGGCTTCAACACTCCAGAGGGTCGCGCGCACATTCGCCCTATACCAAAAGCTTAAAAAACCCGTTTTTTTTTGTTTTTTTTTTTAATTGATGCCTTCCATAATTCGTGTTTATATGTGAGCCCCAACTATTTCGAGAAAATGAGGGTTGCACCAGCTTTCCAGTTATTTGGTGACGAAGTTGTAAAAGGACTTTTTCTTTACTGCTCGATGCTAGAACCCGTATGTTGCTCAATATAACCAACAGAAAGTTTTGTCAAGAGAATAAACAAAGTTATTAGGGTAATGTCCTCGCGATTCCCAAAGGCAGCTTCGTATGTTAGCCGGCCAAACTACCAGTTTTTAAAAGAGTTCCTGGAGTACCTGAGAAAATGGGAAAGCCATGCGATCGAAAGCTACTGTGGGTGGCTTCCCGAGTTTCAGTGCAGCACTACGTGTAACAATTGAAAGCACGCCACATCTGCTTGACTACATTAACACAGTCGGGTTTAATTATATAATGACGGCGAATTTGAGCCAGGACAGGCTTGAGAACCTGTTTGGCGTCGTTCGACAATCATCTGGCGCAAACGATCGCCCTTTTGCTGCCCAGTTTTAATCACGGTCAATGCACGCGCATTTTACAACCTATAGGCTATAGCCAAGCCACCCAAGTTAGGCAACTGCTTCTCAGAATCGACCAGTTCTCTCATTTCAAACGTTGTATCAAGCAGCGGGCGATAGACATATTGGACGGCCTGATCAACAAAGGAAAGCTTAATGACGCAGAAGAAACATCACAGTGCTTATGTAACAGAAAAAAAGCAACGACTTGCTTATTTACTACATTGCTGGATATGTCAGGAAGACAGCGAAAAAGACTTCATGTGAGCTTTGTGTATCCTTCCTGCAAACTGACCAGAACACCACCATAGAACAGGATAAAGTTTCGTCATTTACAGCCCCCTTTGACAATGGAGGTTAGATGTACCTATCTGGCCGTCTGAGAAACCCTATAACTCTCCTTGAAGATAGTTTTACAGCATATTTCAGCTCACACAAGCTCCACTCCAGGAGCATTTAGGACTTTTCCTTTTTGTTGAAAGTAGAGTTTCCTACGTTAGGAATTGCCAAATACATGAACACACTATAACAACAGGAGTTATAAAGTATTATGTACTTCTGCGTTTTCGATTTTATACGAAGGCGCTCAACAACGACAGGATGGCGAAACAGGAGCGTTTGAAGACACTGAAAGAAAAAAGGCTGAAGAAGAATTTTTTTTTTATGAAGTTACAAATAATAAAATTCCTTAATGGTGACGCTTTGTGTTCACTGTGCGTGGTATGTCCTATGGAAAAAAGAACAGAGCCACTGTGTGTCAGTAATAAAAGGTTAGAAACAATGTTTTTACTGGGATTTTTTCCCGTAAACTTGTTATGTTGTACAACTATAATTGATCTCATCATAATATCAAAAAGTTTTCCACGAGAGCGACGGCAACGCAGGTCACTCGCTGCTAAATTTAGTGTGGAAATTGGAGTCACGTGACCTATCCACCAATTCAGTTTCCCCGCTAAATTTGGCGGGGAAACACATTGACGTTAAATCAACTCGTCATTTCAATTTCCGCCATTTTGTTTTATCAAACATTTATTGTTATAAAGGATTACATCGCAACCTCTTGAGGAGATGTCAGCGTAGCCGAGACTTGTAAGCTGCTGAGAAGTTTGCATTTGAGGGGGTCATGTGAATCCTTGGATTGCTCGCCTTTGGCACACACAAGGTACAGCTCATGCTCATAACAACACAATGGTGGACGAAATAACAACAGTGAAAACCCGCTATACACCAACTCGAATCTGACGCCACAACGCTGCAGTGGCGCTGCTGTCATTACTGCGCAAGCGCAGAGGATTCCTTTCGCGCGAATCTGGTTTCAGCGCACATTCAGTGCCCACACCGATGTGGGCAAACACGAGCTGGTTCCTAAACGGCGTGTTATAATTAACTAACACTTCTTAATTAGTAGAAATAGGCATAGAGCGTCATCCAAAAACCACTAAGCAGTAATTTTTATAGTAACGGGAAACATGAAACGATAAAAAAAAATTAAGACTTGTTGTTTTGTCCGTTTTTTATCGTTGTGGTTATGGCAGTTCTTCACCAGCTCGCCTGTGTGTTTTACCTTTCTTCTATATGCAGTAGTCTTTAGAAAGACTTCATCTCAACTTTCTTGCGGATGTCCAGCAACTAAACAACGCAATATTCCCAGGGAATATCTTAGATGACAGTCATAAAATATCGATAAGCAGTAATTAAACTTTTGAACGCGTAAAATTTTTCTTCCATGGCTCTACAGTTTCTTTGCATTGAAACCTATATAGGCCGCATTCACAAAATTATCAATTTCTGCTTTACTTGACCAAATATCAAAATGTTCCCGAGGACTGTAATTACTGGGTATCACGGAACGTTTCTTCCTTGAAAACTTTTCATTCCACCGAATGTCCCAGAAAGGTGCCCATGTGAGCACGTGGGAAGCGAAGTAGTGCGCAAAAGTTATAGCACTCGCGCAGCGAGAGGCACAAGCTGGAGTGAAACGGAAAAACCGCGCCGGCCCGTTATCGCACCAGTGGCCTTGCTCCCGTTGCACGAGCGCTAACTTAGCGCTCTGCCGTGCTTCTCCCTCATGCTCCAAGTCCTTCTAATGCTGACTGATTGAGAGGTTTTCGATGACGCTCATCAAGGAAGTTTCTAATTAGAACCATGCGTTTATTTTCAATAATTAGAACGTCAATTAACGTATTTTAGTTAATTAGCTAGCCCGCAGAAAGCTCGAACTCCGTGAGAATATGGCGATTGCAGTTGGGATGGAAAGCGAAAGTTTGAGAGCATGACGTTACTTAGATCAAAAGATAATTGAGAAATATGAAATTTGTCTGAGCCGACGCGTCCACCTAAGCCTAATATCGTCGAAAGAAGAAACGCGATTGTAGGCGCCTGTAGCACAGATTCCAGTGAAAAACATTTGTCAGCAAGAAATAATACAATGTTATCTTTCTTCCTCACGAGTGCTTTTCACTGACATGCATATCACATGCTTCCACAATCTGTTCTTTTTTTTTTTTTTTAATTAAGGTGGCACATATATGGCGTTAATGTTCTCGAACATTCCTAAAAAAAAAAAAAAAAAAAAGTAAGGTGGCACATGGGGTTAACCAGTCAAATAAATTATTTCTGAGGCCAAGCGATGCTGAACAGTATCACCACAAGGAAGTTCATCTGAATGGGATATGCATTTCTATCATATCTGCACAAATGCATTTTCTACCAAAATCGAAGCGCCCCAAGCAGAAAACTGCCACCTAAAGAGATTTATGATATCTAGATGAAAGATCAACGACAATACAAATTTTGTAGTTTTATTCAGGTAACGCAAGCACGGAGACACGGACCAGTGGAAAAGGTCAACAGTCATTATTTTGTTTTATTTACGTCGTACTTAGCTTGCAGGATATATTATCTTATTTCCTTCGAAACGTTGAACCGCAACAACCTTACTGATAAAACGGCGGTATCGCTGACGGTGTAAAGGTTGTAACCCCATTCTCTTATCAATGGTGTCATATATATATATATATATATATATATATATATATATATATATATATATATATATATACATACATATATATGCACCTGGAAAGACAGGTGGGATAGCATAACAGCTGTGGTTTAGGTCTTCAATCGGCCGCAAGCTGTTGTCATTGCGGTTCAGTAGTGGAAGAAACAGCAGAAGCAGCGGACAGACCGGTTTGCTGGGAAACGCGAAAAAATGGCCGATCCGAGTGACTACGGTAAAGCCCCCTTCTGGGGAAAGAAGTTCATAATCTTCGTAACAGGCGCTAGCGGGGGCATAGGAAGGGCCATAGCGGTCGGTTTCGCCAAGCACGTAGCCCCAGGCTCGCTGGTCGTCATCACGGGCCGAAATACGGCTGGGCTCGAGGAGACGAAGCGCTTGATCGGCGACCACGGACGCGACGTGAATGTCGTCGTCGAGACTTGCGATCACGCACGAGCCTCGTTCAGGGACTACCAAGGACTTCTGCGAAGAGCTTCGACCCAAGTTGAGAGTCCGGAGAGAGTCGTGCTCGTGCACAACGCCGCGACGACCGGAGACGTCTCGCAGTACGCGGCGTCGTACGACGACGAGCGAGTGATCGACGACTACTACCACCTCAATTTGACTTCGGTCATGACGCTGACCGCGGCATTCCTCCAACACTACGGCTCCGACTCCAAGCCATCGAGAACCGTCGTCAACGTCTCGTCGCGTGCGGCGGTCGTTGCAATGGCTGGAGCTGCTCTCTACTGTACAGGTGAGTCTATAGAAAAAAAAAAAAAAAAGAAACCCCAAATCGACCACGTTCGTGTTTCGACAGCGGATCGGCCTGCCTTTGAGGCATAGGCGTAGACTTCGGGGAAGTATCGGGGCTCGTGCCCTCTTGGTGAGATACAGAAAGAGGAGGGGGGAAAGAAACTCTAAGGGGGGGGGGGGGGGGGCAGAGCCCCCCCCCCCCCCCCCCCCCCCTCTTTTTCTCTGGGCTTGGACCATGATCCTTACCGAGACGCTGTTTACGTGCCATGTAACGAGCTTGTAGTAGTGGCATGTAAACAAAATAACGCCCACGTTGCCTTTATTGACAAAGTACATCGGAAATGGAATCCCAGCGTGCTTTTGTTAGCTTCAATCTCCCGTTCTGGCGAAAAAGTAACGTGCAGCACCCCCCCCCCCCCCCCCCCCCCCCCGGGGGAAAATGGAAATTCTACGCCGCTGCTTTGAGGTATGGCGACACTGGCTTACGCTGTAGATGAGAAATTAAGCCGGTGCAGTAGTACTGCTAGCCTGAGGTCTTTAATTTGCATCACGCTGTAGCGGTACACAAGCGAACGCCGGTACGATGCTCATCCTGATCGAAAGGGGCAGGGGTGGAGATTGAGCAACGAACTCTGTATTGAATGAATGGTGGGTAGACGCTCCTCTTTCCTCTTTGAACTCTCCTCTTTGAACTCGTTCGAATAGATGAGTAGGAGACAAAGCCAGCTAGCTTTGCGTCTACCGATTTAACATTCAAGTCAGAGCTCGGCATTCTGGCGTTCCCGCGTCCCGCGTGCTCTCAAATCCTCTTCTACCAGGAGACTAGGGAGAAGGAAGTGACGTCAACAACGTTCTTTGGATGTTGATTGGTGGAGTCACTGATGACGCGTTGCGTGGTGCTGCTAAGACACGTTCATTCACACCTACGTCACCTCCTTCTCCCTAGTCGCCTGGGAGTCCGAAACGTGCAACATAGCCCCCCTGAATTAATGATCGAACTTCATTGTTAGTATCCTTGCAGTCAAGACTTCAATTAGTGTATTGCTGGCTACAAGAATATTGTGAGAAGGTTTAATATTCGAAGTTAATTGCTCTCTGATACATTAAATTATTGACGATACAAGTATACAGTTTTTGTATGAGTTTTACTAGAGCACGAATTACGTTAGAGGTACGTACAATTCAAGCAGGGTAGTCATAAAACACCTATTTGATATGCTACTGAACAATAAATGCGAGTATCGAGTCAAATAAGCTAGTGGAGGTCATAGTGAAACACTCCACCGCTTCACTTCAAATATACTAAAGAGTCAGGAACACAAAATTTACATCACATAAAGGGATACTTCAACGAAATTTGAAATATACCCATCGTGTTCAGAAATAGGCTGAATATGATTTACAATATCCGTAAATGACAATCGCGCACGTTTGTATATTGAGCCTAATGGCGGTATTCACGCTGGCAAGCGCTCGGAGAGCAGCCAGCGGAGAGCACGTCACATCTGGCGCAATCGAGACGTCTCGGGATGAACAGCTGCGGCGAGGCTGCCGTCGTCAGGATGCCGTTTCAGTCCCCGAAGCGGTCGAAGCACGCCAGCGATCGGGTCACCGCAACTAACCGCAAAGCTGCTTTTGTGTGAATTTTGCGTCACGGGTTAATCTTCTATAATCTTGTAGAGGGAGAATAGCGACGTCTAGGATACACGAAACAGAGTCCCGTTGAGTGGGAAGTTCCTCCCTGCCCTCTTGTGCTGGCGGTAGAGCTGTCGGGATTGACGTCAGCCCCTCCTTCGCAGAGGCGCTGCCATTTAGAATCACGTGACGCGACCGACAAAAGGTGGTTTAATATCGTCGGTCCTCTCTCCGCAACGCGCTTTACAACGTTTTTTTTGTTGTTTTTTTTTTGCCTTGCTTTGTGAAACGTCGTCTGATAACTATTTTTACTACCTAACTGCATGCAATCATTATGTACACCGCATCTGCACTTCATTTTATAGCATGTTTTTACTTTTTGCACCGTCGGCGTACCGGATACCGTACGTGCGAGCATGATCGTTAGCACTGGCGCACATTACGCAAGGGTTGAGAGGCTAATTATTTCTGACAGCGCACGACCAGACTCGAGATTCTGCAAGGCAGAAGATCCTCCTCACCATGGGGGAGGAGGAAACAGGCAACGGTGGACAGGGTAGGAGGGGGATTGGAGGAAGCGGGGGAAAAGTGGCAAGCGTGAACTGGTCGTCGGTCTTTAAGTGGTAGTGGCGCAATAAGAAGCCCAAGGTATATTTATTATCAGAGATTTATGATCTTAAAGAAGAAGGCAAAGATAGACAACGCATGCAAGGAGTCGTTGTGTGTTTCTTGAAAGCACCCTGCTCTGCCTTCATAACAAATCCAGAACAGTTTTTTGTTTTGTTATATGGGGGAATCATTTTGCGGTATAAACATTCGCTTGATGTGTTTATGAGTATAAACTACAGACTGTGCCCGGCCTCCTGTCTTCAGTCATTCAATTTTCTTAAGATATACACTTAAATTATTTTATTTAGACACAAAGGGCTTGTCTTATTCCCGGGTGAAAAACGTGTCAAAGACGGCTTGTGAGTGTTTGACAAAAGCGCCTGAAGGACGCAATATGTGAGCCGAAAGTAGCCGTTTGCATGAAAATCACTCGAGTGAATAAGAGTTGTTGATGCTCGATGCCGCTGAAAGTAAAATGTGTATCTGTTCAAACAAATACAAATCTGTCTACACAAATCCATAAAGTGGTGCCTGGCATTTGACTTCAGCCAAGCTTGCTAGAGGTCAATTATCTTGCGCGATTTAATTTTATTCCGCAATTTAAACGGACGACATACGTCAGGCTTCAATCGCTTCTCCTAGTTTGTAATATAAATGTATCCATTGTTAAACAGAACCAACGATACAGTGGTAATGAGCCACCTTGAGAGCTACGACGTGGTTACGAGCTTAAATTGTGGACGGTTGTACGAAACACCTTCATCTGATATCACGTTCCTCGTTCGGCCAGGTTCAGCAGCGAAGTGACTGAAATGATGCCGGGGGAGCGTGAGCGATGTCTACGGACGAACTGGACGTCCTCGCTGATACTAGTTTCCATTAAAATAAAATAATGAAAAGACTAATGCATGGAGGCAGTGAAAACGCAGGTCGACGGCCTGACTAACAGCTGCGCTGCATCGCTAAGAACAAATGAATTCGCAAGTTTAATACTCACTGTTCGGTTTTCGAGGACACTGAAAATTGCCGACTGGGAAACCCTCGTGCAATGCAAAAAAGAAGCGATATTCATTTCACCGGTTTCTTTAAAAGAGTTAAGTATACGAGGTATGTTTCCATGGTGCTTCCTATGCCGTGTAGGGCATTTTTTCAACTATCAGCCAGGTGCAGATCCAAGGGGGGGGGGGGGGGGGGCGCTTTTCATTTTGCTTTCCCTTACTCCCGGTCTAATGTTCATAACTTTATTTTTTTTTATTTCTTTTCAGGCAAGGCGGCGAGAAACATGTACATGAAAGTGGTTGCTTTGGAAAACCCGTCTGTGTCTGTCCTCAACTACGCTCCCGGTCCCGTGGACACCGCCATGTTTGCGCAGCTGAAGAGAGGAACCAAGGAATGTGAAGAATTGCACGACAGTAAGTTCACCAAAAATCGGTGTCTGTCGCCAGCAATCTTCATTGTAGCTTCTGACAGACAGGGGAAGGGGAAATTTTCCGTCAAAGCACTTAAAGCTTATGTTTTCGGCGTAAGAAGTTTGGGTGCCAAATAATAGCGATTTCCCGTGTAAGTAGAATGTGTATACTCCAATTGCATTGAGTGGGTACTAGGACACACTAGGGTGCTTTCAGGTGCACTTTGCTTAGGGCAATGATATCTGCGTCTCCCTGAACGAACACTTGTTATTGACAGTGCTACGGCAGCATTTTGAGACCGGCTCAGGGTGTAAGATAGACAGGTGGGAAACGAGAGCCAAATGAGCGACCGGATTGTGTCCCCCTCGGCTTTCTCTTTTTCTGTGGCGCCATCTATGTGGAGCAACGCGAACTCTCACTCCGGGTGGGCGACCGGTGGCGACCGGCTATAGACTGACGGAGATGGTTTCTCGTGGATTTTCAATGGAGGACTGTCGTGCTCTCGGTTTATTTTGCGCACTCTCCCATAAAGTTCCATGCAAATTCGATTCCGATTTTTTTCCTCTGCCGCAAATCGGGGGTACCCGCAAGCAGACGAGTACACAATCCGGTCACGGCGCTGCGGTAGGCTTCTATGGGCCGTTTCCCCACTGTCTATCTTACACCCTGGACCGGCTACTTCTGCGTAAGACTGTCCAAAAAAAAAAAATTGTTTTTTTTTTCTTTGCAAAAATAAACAACAGATTCCAAAGTTTCAGCAAGAACCGATATTTTGTTAAAAAGTTAAAGGTGTTTTTTTTTTAAATGTCAGTGAGAAAATAGTGGCCGACGGTGCTCTCGAATAGACGGAGCTATGACACCAGAAACCGAAAACGGGCGAAAATGAGCTACATTTTCCCATTGAATTTCGCAGAAAATCACTTAAAATTTTAGAATGAAATAGAGGGAGCGTTCAGCAATACGTAGTTTATTTTTGCAAAAAGAAAAAAAAAAAAAAAAACTTGAATTTTTATTTTTCGGAAGAAGGAAGACTCTGTATTTTTTATTTTATTTTTATTTTTTTTAGTGCTCGTGCTTTATAGTACCCGATGCCGACATCACGCCCTCCCGAAAAAAAAAAAAAAAAAGAAAAAAATAGCCGGTCACAAAATGGTTTAAAGTGGTCAATGCCAAGAAATCGTGCCAATAATTTTGCTTGCTCGCGCTCAAAAAAAAAAAAAAAAATACAAAAGCTTTGAGGATTGAAATGCTCAGCTGTTATCACCCTAAGCAAAGCGCACATGAGGGCGCACTAGGGGACACCGACGCTCCATGCGCACCTGCGACCCGTGCATCCGATATGGCTGCCTAACACAGAGAGCCGTAGCTCTGCCACATCCTGTAATGTATTCATGGGAAGAGCGTCAAGCGTTTGGCTGGAACGCAAGTCACAGCCGAAGGCTGACCTTGTCTGCACAGTTTGTAAAACTGGGTTGCTTATACAGCCTAGAACTTGGTCTGCCTCACAGGGGCGACGAGTCTCCCAGCTGTAGATGAGAAATTTAGCCAGTGCGGTACAACCGCTAGCCTGGTGTCTTTAATGTGCATCACGCAGTAGTGATACACGACCGCACGCCGGTACGATGCTCATCCAGATCAAAACGGGCAGGGGTAGGGATTGAGCAACAAGGCGGTAAGTTGGGCTAGTTGGTTTAACATCGTCAAACGTGAAAACAGCGCACTTCTTTCACTTGTCCTTTGTTCAATTTTTGCGCTGTTTTCACGTTTGACGGTGGGGATTGAGCCCAGGATCCTGGGTTCTGCAGCCCGAGCTTTCGCTCCACGTGCTCCGAGCTGGTGTGCGCTAGCCCACTCGGCCACCGATCCCCCTGCACAGTTTGTCTTGTGCAGCTGACAACGTAGACGCAAACAAAATGTAACATTGAATGAACTGTGCGATTAGCAGGAGGCTATGGATTAGCATACGCGCCGCCACTGACGCGTGCGCTTTATGCACCCAACTCGCCGTTTACAAACAAGCCCGTGTTTGCCCCACGGCGCATGCGCAGAAACCAGATTGGCGTCTGCACATGTGCCGTGCCGAGAGCAGTGCCACCGCAGCGATGTTGGTCCGGTGTCAGTGCAGGTTGCTCTTGCTCTTTTCAGGTAGGATCAGGGACGGCCTACTTCTAACGCCGGAGAAGACCGCCGGTCGGCTCGTCGACATTCTCAGGGACCACAAGTTCACGTCGGGCGACCATATCGGTTATTACGAGGACCCCCAGTAGATGGCGCTGATGTGGAACAGATAAGACTGCTTTTCTCGTGCAGAGAAACCGTACACCCCATCGAATGGTTACTACAGGCCTTGAGGCAACAGCAATGCACGACAAAGGCAGGATGGAAAGCGAGTGGGATAATTTACTGGATCCTAGTCGAGTGCTGTATCAGGAGGGCATGGCATTAAAACATTTTACGACTCCTAAGTACTGTGTGAGAGAATGGCCATTTCCTCGCCGTATCTGAGTTTAAAGATACACGATCCCATGCTAACGTGCAATGGTCTAGACGCAGAGCGAGAGACTGTGGGTGCGTGTATGTATTTTTTATTTGTTTTAATGAATGCCAATGAGGACGTTGTAAGGTGGATTGCCAGGATTGGTTTACGTTATATTTGCGCTTTTGTTTCTTCTGTTCGCTGCATATACGAGGGTGAAGTAGCTGAAGAAGGCACCATGTAATTAGTCATCTTACAAAGACACGGAGAGAAACAGTCAAGGAATGAGGTAGTTTGCATTCTGGAAAGCTTTTGAGAGATGACTGTGGTGTATTAAATTTGAACGGCAAAATATGTAAACAAGAAACATATGTCAAGGCTTGGGTAGAAAATACTATCCGTGAATGTAGAACGGAACAGAGCGAGCGCGGTGGTTTTCCTTTTTATGTAACCGCATCGAACGTCGAGATACGAGATTCTTTATGGCAACATATTTCATGCCCCCTCCCCCACAAGTATCGAAGCGGAAGCAGTCGCAGAGTGGTTAAAAGAAAAAGAAAAAAGAAATAGGCGATGGGTGTGGTGGCAGCAGGAACACTGGGTAACAAGTGCAGAACTGCTGTGATCAACGCAGCGCTAGGTTCTTTGTATTTTTGTTTTGTTGCCTAGATTGTCAACAAAACACCTGCAATATCAGGAAGAGTGGTTGTTTGGGCGAGTTGGTTTGGCATCTTATACAATATTGTGCGCAGCAAGGACGAGGACAAAAGAAGAGAACAGGACACAACAAGGCGCCTTGTTTTGTCCTATTCTCTTATTTTGCCATCGCCCTTGCTGCGCACAAGATTGTATAAGATACAATACCAGACAACGCTATGAAGCAACCAAAACATTTTACATCCGTAAAAGAAGTAAAAAAAGACCGTCATTGTGCAAACTTTTCGTTAAGAATTTCTGGTTCCACGTGGAAACCTTTGTTTTAGAATGCTGAGGCCGAGCTCTGTCACCGGGTGTAAACTCACGAAAGCAACGCGAGGTCTATGTATATTCGATTGATATCGAATGATGCTGAGTTTTATCGAGTTCTGTCTTTCTTTTTACTTGAATTTAAGCCCACTAGTGACTTTCCTACCTTGTGTGCGAATAGTGGTTTGAATTGAATAGAAAGTAATTTGTACTTGAAAGTTACTTGAGCCTCCACCAGTCGGCTCGGCGCGTTCCCCGAGCCGGCACTAGAGTTCCTGTGTACGCATACAGGAACTCTGGCCGCAACTAAGCCGCCACTGCTGACCTCCATATTCGATCGCGCGCCTACTCTTCAGCTTACAGGAGTCATCGTTTTCGGCCGCTATCATCCAGTGGGCAAAACGTGCTCAGCGGCAGCTTGCAAAAACTGCAGTGGGCCCACGCTAGTTACGGTCAGAATCACCACGCTTTGTGCACTTAACACGCCTTACTAGTGCGTAGTGTCCATGGACTGCCCATGTTTAGTGTCAGGTCTCGATTCCACAATTAAAAGAAGAACGAAGAACGGCGTCGACAACGATTACCTCGACACTTCGATGGCTTTACCATCAACGTACAACTACTTCGATGGTACAGCGGTGTCAGTTAATCGCGAATGGTGCTATGTTTAATTTACGCACTCTGGGCTGGACGTCGTGCACTCAGGGGCGAATGCAGGCATTTCTAGAGGTGGGTCAGCAGCCGCTGCTTGCTCCGGTGTATGCTTCGGCTGCCCTATCCTTGCGCACAAAGGCTTAGAGCAGGTGGCAAGGAGCGCAATAGCACGCGGCAAGGAGCGCGATTACATGATCCTCAGCGCTATGCGGAAAGCAAGTCGTCTGTTTCTTGTGCAAGAGTTGCGGTGACGTCAAAACAACGCGGAGCTCTTATTGGCAGATCAAATAGAATAGTGGGTAGACCTGAAGGCATCTAGCATTGGGGTCTACCCACTATCCTCGCAATCAAAGCCAATCAGAAATCGGCGTCGTTCTGACGTCACCGTAACTCCCGAGCAGACGACTTGCACTCCGCATAGCGATTGACCGAGCGCGCAGCGAAAGGGCGAGGGTATCGCTTCTGTACTTGTCCAAAGACACCTGCGATAAACGCGCGGATGCTCTGTTCGTTTTCGTCAACACGACAACGTCCGAGCGCAGCGGATGCTACGAGCCATCGGAGCCAACCCAAGGCCGTGTGACTGTTAGGTGACTTTGAAGTGCGGGCACAGCGACGTACCGAAAGCGTAACACGGGCTTTGTCCACAGAACCCGATCGGCTAGATAGCTCGTAGCGTCCGCTGCGTCCGCACGCAAGATGAAACGGAGTATAGTACAACAAGCCCAGCACAGCTGATGCTGCAAAAGGAATTAAAGTTATTAACCGGGGTACAACATATAAAAACCACATTTAAAAACCACGCAAATTGAACGTAAAAAAATATTGTATGGCAAATTGCTAGGCAATGGTGTTGCATACGTGAAGCGTTCTAGCATCATTTCTAGCAAAATTTAGTGGGGAAACTGAATTTATGTATGGGTCACGTGACACGAAGTCATGTGACATTATTTTCTCCGTTAAATTTTGCGGGGAAACTGAATTGATGTTGAGATCGCGCGATTTTAATTTTCCCGCTAAATCTAGTGGGGAAACTGAAGTCCCGTGACGTCGCAGGCCAGGGCTTCACGAAATCCGGAGTAACTTGCCAAAGAACGTTTCACGCTCATAAAGCTCCGGTGGTGGCGGGCACAGCACAAAACGCACTCCACTAGGCTCGTTCGATTGACTTGCTCTTATTTCTGAACCTCTTGCGCCGGTTCAAAGAAGTGTAGGCAGGTGCACTTCCGGTCGTATCTCGATCAATACACATACCGCAAGTACGCAGCCCTACACTTTTCTGTACCGGTGCAGGAGGTGCAGGCAAATCGAACGAGCCTACTGAATAGAAACTGGAGGTCAGCTATGGTGGCAGGGTCACGTGATAACAAGATGGCGGCACCCATGCAAAGCTGCTGTAGATCGTCTTATAAGAAATACATTCGCAAGAATTTACATATTTCAAGACAGGTTCACTGGTTGCAAATATTAGTGCACTTTCTACAAAAAAAATTGCAAAGCATAGTTTTATGCGTAATATGGGTGTGCATTACACACCGGAAAAGATGTGGTTTACTTATTGCACCGGTAACTTGCTGACAGTTTTAGATGAACAGTGGCGTACCAACTAGTTTTTGAGTGAGGAGCCAAACCAGACCCCCCCCTTCCCCCGGGCAGGGGGGTGGTGCCCTTGGTATCCCTTGGGCGCCGCCGGCCAGTGCTTGCCCTGCCCACTAACGGCTGTTTCGGGGGAGGGGGGGGGGGGGGGGCAAAACACATGCCTTGCCCCCCCCCCCCCTCTGAAAACTGAGGGGGGGGGGGGGGGCAAACGCCCCCCTTGCCCCCCGGTTGGAACGCCCATGTAGATGAAAGTTGTTTCCAACAAAACAGCACTCTCTGGTTCGTTCTAGCTCTTCTTGTGGTTTGCTGAGAATGTTTGATTCGATGGGTTGGTTGCTGGGCTTTCTACAGCCATGTAAAAAGCAACTGGTATACCACGAACAATGATGTAATGAGTCGCACATACTTGACAAGTTTGGGGGTTTGGTGAAAATATACTGCGATTTCTGGCTCCATGCTACAACACAATCGGTCGGGTGCAATATTGTCACGGATGCAAAAGGGGTCGACAACTGTAAACGTAAAATAAAGGTTCAATCGGCGAACTTGTGCCAAACAAAATAAAGAATGAGCGTCAGGACAGCGAGAACGAGACTGACTCGACAAGACACTTCCCGCGCAGCTCCTTTTCTAGTGTGCGTCACCATCTCGAAAATTCAGCCCAGAAGGTTGGAGCGTTCGGGGTGAGAATGGACAGGCACTTTCGAGAACAAGAAAGAAGGACGAAATGATAAAAGTAATGTCCAGAGTAAGAATAAAGGCGAATCTTCTAGAAGTCCGTGGCCGAGCATTGCTTGCTCGGCCCTGCGCGCGGCAATATCCATAATATCAGGCAATCAACAGCATCCCACTCAAATGTTGAGAACTTCCAAAGGGAACCGCTTTGTGTTCTTGTGGAGACTACGGTCATGTCCCTCTTTTTATAGATAATGTGCAATTTTTATGACCTAAGTTCAGTCCATGCACATCCATGTACCATATCATTTTCAAGTTGGGTTGAATGTGGACGAACATAAACCCTGGAAATCCGCAACACTTGGTTTAGTCTGCAACATACAACAGATAACCAACGTTTGCAAAGTGCAGGGTCAATCCCAATAAATATTGACAGCGGCAGTAAACGTGTATGCCAAAATGTTGCATTGTGAGTTATGTGATTGGTCCGAGTAATTTTGGAACACTTTACGGGACAGCCAAAAGTCCCTTTTCGAGAACTGTTGAAGCATAAGCACAGAGGTCATTTTCATTCCTGAACCACTGCTAATATACATGTTAATGCAACGCAGCAGGCGCGTAACCGGGGGGGGGGGGGGGGGGGGGGGAGGAGGAGGGGGGGGTTTCAGGTGTCAGAACACCCCCCGAAAGTTTATTATATATATATATATACATAATAAATTGTGTGTGTGATTGCACCAGCACCTTGAAACACCCCCGAAAATAATTTTTGGCTACGCGACTGCATGGCAGGCGAGGTAAACCTGTTGGCCTGTCCAACTTCAAAGACAACGTCTCTGCCTTTCCACTTCTGTGGAGCCTTTTATTAGCATGAATTGTACGGAAGGCTTGATTCCTTCCTCAAAAGCAGCAGTAGCTGTTGCTGATTGATGAAGTATGCTGATTGATGAAGAACAGCTGTGAATGGTTATTTTAGGCACGGAAACGAAAGTAAACCAATTAGTAGTAGATTCCACTGAAATATTGGGTGATTTCAGATAAGATCGACCAAAGGGTGGCTGGTCGACATTTTTAAATCAACTGATGTTTTAGAGC